CTGCTTTCATGAGACACAAGGCTAAAAATTAAAACCATTCAATCTCCCTAGGCCCAGGAACAATTTTAGAAAAAGTGGGCATGTGAGGTTGTAAGGGCTGATTTCGAGTTATAAAATTAGTTCAAGGTTTTTCTTTTTTCTTTTTTCTTTTTTTTTTTTGAGACAGAGTCTCGCTGTGTCACCCAGGCTGGAGTGCAGTGGTGCAATCTCGGCTCGCTGCAACCTCTGCCTCCTGGGTTCAAGCAATTTCCTGACTCAGCCTCCTGAGTAGCTGGGATTATAGGTGCACGCCACCATGCCCGGCTAAATTTTATATTTTTAGTAGAGACAGGGTTTCACCATATTGGTCAGGCTGGTCTTGAACTCCTGACCTCATGTTCCACCTGCCTTGGCCTCCCAAAGTGCTGGGATTACAGGTGTGAGCCACCCCACCGGCTGGTTCAGGGTTTTTCTATAAATTAAACACTAATATCAAAGCACACTGATGCAAGGTCAATGTCTGGGCCCCTGTGTCATAATAACAGGGTTTTCTTGGAGCGTTACTCTTCTCTTTAGTAGAAAATCGTAAAAGGTTATAAAATGTTTACAGAAATTATACCTTATAGTCAAAATGATTAAAATTAGGTTTATAAAGTTTTATTAAAATTAGCTTTAACATTAATAATATACCATACAAAAGTAAAATTTGATTTTCTCTTTTGAATAAAATGTTTGTGTTATATTAATAAGAGATAAAATACTTGTTTACCTTTTGAATAAACTGTGGGGAGAAGAAAAGAAAGGGGAAGTGACATTTAGTTGGCCACATGCTGTCTTTATTAGGCCTTATTGTTTGGGAAACTGAGTCTCCTATCAAAAAGTAAATGTGTTTTATCTTTTTGGTTAAATGAATAACTATTTTATATTGACCTATGATCCTATTTTGTGATATCAAAAGTCTTAAATCTTTGATAATTGACAGACTGCCCAACAGCAAAAATTTCAAGTTCTAAATTCAGTATTTTTTTTTTAACCTCAAACTTTTTTGTATATTAGGTTCACTGAAGTCCAAGAGAAAATGTTAGGCTTCTTTGGTATGTTAGAGTTATACAGGAAGCATTATCAAATGTGAGGTAGTATTTAACTTCCTTTAGGTTATATTTACATAAATGTGCTATTAACATGTGTTGCATGACTATATGAGATTCCTAAAATTCTGATAGGTCTTCATATATAGTGTCAGTAATGATTATTACGTTAAACTGTTGTATGCCAACAGAAAAAAAAAAAAATTCCTTGTCAACTGTGTCTTTATGGTTCTCCTAAGACTTTTGTCATCACAATTGTTGTTTTGCATTGATTCTTCTCAAAAAGTGACTTAAAATCAGATATAGTCCAGGGCTTGTTTATTTAGAGGAGTTCATGAAAAGGACTCTTAAATGCAGATTTCTGGTAAGTTTGGAGATAGTGCCAGTGGAATATAGAAAACTTCTAGGACTCTTAATTAGAGTCCCTCTTAATTAAAAGGCTGATGTGTTTATTAAGATTAGTAACCCAATATAAAACACAGCAGGAGCTGACTGCATAGGCTGAACACATGTGGGACTAAAATAATTGCTCATGAAAAAGTCTGGAGAATTTTTGTTTTTCAGAGTCTGGGGATGTTTTTCTTTTAAGCTATTCATAGCCTTTAAGAATAAAGTATATTATATAGAATAACCCTTATAAACAGAATTTGAGGCATTTTCTCTTTCCCTAATTTCTCCAGAATTTGTTAACTATTTTACAAATTCTGAATATTCTTTTTTTTTTTTTTTTTTTGAGACGGAGTTTTCGCTCTTGTTACCCAGGCTGGAGTGCAATGGCGCGATCTTGGCTCACCGCAACCTCCGCCTCCTGGGTTCAGGCAATTCTCCTGCCTCAGCCTCCTGAGTAGCTGGGATTACAGGCACACGCCACCATGCCCAGCTAATTTTTTGTATTTTTAGTAGAAACGGGGTTTCACCATGTTGACCAGGATGGTCTCGATCCCTTGACCTTGTGATCCACCCGCCTCGGCCTCCCAAAGTGCTGGGATTACAGGCTTGAGCCACCGCGCCCGGCGAATTCTGAATATTCTTAATTCATGGCAATGTGTTTTCTTGCATATGTTTAATAAAAATCTGTTTTATTTTATTTGGAGGAACAAGTTATTTTCCCAGGGCTTTGACTGAAATGGCCTTGTGAGAGGTTCCAGCAAAGCCAATTAGGAGAGCCCATATGGACAATAATTTTTGCTGTACTTTGTGTGGGTAAATAAGCCAAGTATATGGAACTGAAGCTTATTTTGCAGGTAGATCCATCCTGCTGTGATTTGTCTTTGGTGGAAGAGGGGAACAGTAATGGTATAGATTGTGTCTCAGAAGAAAACTGTAGTATTAGATTGACTTCTGATTCCTAGGTGGCCACATGGTTACCCATAGTATGAAACTGCCCCACCATGCCATTCCTCAGCATGAAGCTGCCGCAAAGATTGAGGATCAGATTCCCCATGATACAGGAATTGATAAATGGAAAGCAGGGGACTGAAACCAACACAATAGTCCCATAAACAGTTCTTTTGGATAAACACAGAAATTGACCCTTCTGACCTTACAGTTTGAAAGTTATATTTGTTTTACCTGAGTTCCTTCCTCAGGAAAAGGACCCCCAGGCCTCTCAAAAGGTATAAAAGAACTGAAACTCATCAGATCATCACATCGAGACAATGAGATATCAGGCCTCCCATTTATTATGATTGCTTCCTTACCCCAGAGTCCATTTTCTTTCTATATAAACCCCTAATTTTAATGAGTCAGGGAGATGGATTTGAGACTGATCTACCTCCTCCACTGCAGCTCCCCATTAAACCCTTGGCAATACTTGTGTCTCAGTGACTGGCTTTCTGTGCAGCCAGCAACAGAACCTAGGCTGAACTCCCTGGTGTTTCAGTAACAATCACATCCACTCTCATTGTTTCAGCAAGGATCTCTACATTAATATCTCCCCAACCCTGGTCCTTTTTCCTGAACTCTACACCTGTGTAGCCAGCAATCTGATGAACATCTCTTTATGAACGCATCCAAGGCATACAAATCCAGCATATTTAAATCTGAATTCTTCACCTTTGCCTGCAAACCTGTCCCTCTTCCCACATTTCCTAACTCAGAACCTACCATTTATTCACTCAAGGACCAAAGCCAGAGACCTGGAAGTCATTCTCCACTGTCCTCACCCTCACCTCCTCACCACGACTCCCCAAGAGTCCTACTGATTATACTTTCCCAATGTGTCTTGAATCCATCCATTTCTCCCAATTCTTCTGGATTCCTATTTTCCTAACTGGTTTGTTTTTAGTTTTCCATTCCATTGTCTTGGCATTGTTGCATCTGCCATTCCCTCTCTCTCTGTCTTGTACCTATCCAAGCCCTTCCTCAAACTGCAGTCGAAGTTATTCTACAACACAAATTCTATTTTTGTCCCCTCTCCTTATAACGTTTTAGTGGATAAAGACCAAAACTGTTCATATCCCACTTCTGCTTACCTCTCAAGTCTCACCTCTCTCAACTCCTAACCCTCTCTCTCTCCACAATGCCACCACACTAATATTTTCTGGATACCTGGAACACTCACTTCTCTTTCACTTTGGATCTTTGCACATAAGGAACCCTCTAACTGCAATCTATTTTCTCCTTACACCTAATCTTCTCTCCTACTCCAGACCTCAATTCAAATGCCAAATATCTGGGAAGCTTTGGCTGTGCCCTTTGGACTCTAGTAGACATCCCAGCTTCGACAGTATCCTATGGTTTTCCATCAGAGCACTACTGCACTTTACGAATTACTGTTTTGTTATCGTATTTGCATATGCATGCTAATCACTATTAGGGCAGGGACCATTTCTGCTGTGCTCATCATTGCTTCCTCAGCTTTCAACATGACACTCCCTAATAGATAATAGGGACTTAGTAAATTACCTCTAATGCTAACATAATACTGACGCCTGAGTTGCTTATTTTATTCAATCAAGGTGTATCAAATCAATATAGGAGTGCATGGAAAAATGGGATTCACACCAGTTTGTGTTTCATCCAATTACTTCTTCAAATGGGATTCACACCAGTTTGTGTTTCATCCAATTACTTCTTCAGGTGCCAAGCTACACTGGTCACTAGAATGCCATTCCACAACCTTTCTTTCAGTTTTGTAGAGCAATTAGCACTCAAGTTAGTTGCTGGTTTTAACGCAATTTCCAAAAACTGCAAAAACATCAGGAAAAACTGGCACTTGGAGACTTTTAGGATTCCCAGGCTCCCTCTCATCGACATAGTTTAAGCACCACCTCCTTTCACCTGTTTCCCAGAAGTCTCTTTTCATCTCCAGCACAAACTAATTAGATACAAATTTACAAAATGGTCAATACCCAGGATCACCTGTCTCCAAAGCTAGATGGAAACACCTGTATTAAAACCTGAAGCTATTCGGTCTGGAAAAGTCCGGCTCCTCTCCAGCTTCCAGGTCTTTGGAAGTGTAAAGAAGGCCCGCAGAGTAAGCATCAACTTCCTTTAAGCTCAGACCGCACTTTGTGCTCAGTACTGTCATCTTTTGCCCTTTGCGTCCCAGTCCTTGGGCTGTAAAGTATACTAAGGAAGAACCCTTATCGTATTTCTCAATCTGTCAGTACCCAGCCAAGCACACAACAGACTTTAATACTAGTGAAATAAATGAAAGAGAAACAGAAAATTTCTTCCCCAGCTTTGAATCTAAATAGATGAGCACCCTTAAGCCAAGTCACTTCACCTCGCTGGAACTCAGTTTCCCCACTGGGCCTGCGAGGGCTCCTCAAACTCTGACAACCTCTAGTTTGAAATGCTGCGGAGAGCTTACCACAAACCTGGGGTTTCTGGCAGGCTCTCTTTATTGATTAAAAGAAGGGAACAACGCAAGAGAAAAACAAGTCCTCAATCGTTTTCCGGCAGGAGGGCGCCGCTGGGGACACTTACCCTCCCTAATCCAGGGGGCCATGTAGCTCAGGATGTAGGTAGGGTCCAGGGTCTTCCGGATGTAATCGCGGAAGGCGCCCAGGCTGCGCCGCTGCTCGGCGGTCATGCCGGCCTCTGCTCCCAGCCGCGTCCCCGCGCAGCTGCGCCTCGCTGGCTTTAAAGCCGGGCAGGAGGAGGAGGGCGTGGCGAGCGAGGAAAGCGGGGATTTTCCGGAGAAATGATACCGGATGAGAGGCGGAGCTGCGGGGAACTTGAGAGGGAAAATCGAAAGTGCAACTAGCAGCGGGAGGGAGCCGCAGAGGCTGGGCTTCCTTGGGTTAGTTTCGTTTCCCTCCCCATCCAGGGAGCCGGGGAACCGCGGGAACCGGAGAGGGCCTCTAGAAATTGCTTTTATTTTTATGATCTTATATTTTGTTTTGCTTTTGTAGCGCTAACGTTTAGATACAGTAAAATGCACACAATCTGAGTGTGCAATTCGATGAGTTTTTGTAATGTGTACACCGGTGTACCAAGTTCTCCCACGAAGGCGGGGTCCCGGGGTAAGTCTATGTTTAGCTTTATGGGAAGCGCCACCTGTTTTCCAAAATGATTATAACCAGTTTGCATTCCCACCCGCAGTAGGAGAGCTCCGGAAGATACACACATTGGTCAGCATTTTTTTTAAAAAACTTCCATCTTGGTCGGTGTGAAATGGTATATAATTGTGGTTTTAATTTTAATTTCCCATATAATTAATGGTGGGCATATTCGCATTCATATACCTTTTATGAAGCTTCTGCTCCAATCTTTTGCCTGATTTTGGAGCTTTTTGGTTTATGGATTTACAGGAGTTATTTATTCTGGATACAAATTGTTAAATATATGTATTCAAAATATCTTCTTCCAGTCTGTGGCTTACCATTTCATTTTCTTAAAGGAGTCTTTTGAGGAGCAGACATTTATAATGATGAAATTTACCAGGTTTTTCTTCTGTTTGTGCCCTCTTTGATAAATCTTTGCCTACACCAAGATCCTGAAAATATTGTTTCCTATTTAGATTATATTTGTAGCCTTTACTTCTGGGTCTATTACTATCTCAATTTTGTTGTGGTGTGAGATGGGGGAGTCTAGGTTCATTTTTTTCCATATTCATAATTATTTTGGCACCATTTGTTGAACACTTTTCCTTTTGCCTATTGGATAGCCTTGGGACCTTTGTAGAAAAAAAAAAAAAAAGGTCCATTGAATGTATGTGTTTCTATTTCTGACTCTTGTAAATTCTGCTTCCTATTACTTATGACAATACCACTGTCTCTTGGTTACTTCAGATTTCACCTAAGTCTCAAAATCAGCTACTACTAAATCCTCCAAATTTATTTTTCACTGTGAAGACATTAGCTATTTGAGATTCTTTGCATTCTCCCCCACCACCACCACCACCTTTTTTTTTTTTTTTCTTTTTTTGAGACTCTGTCTCCCAGGCTGGAGTGCAATGGTGCAAACAGGGCTCACTGCAACCTTGAATCCCTGTGCATTTCCGTATGAAATAAAAATCAACTTGTCAATTACCCTTTCCTCCCCCAAAAAATGCTTATTGGGATTTTGATCAATATTGCTTTGCATTGAACCTACAGAAAAACTTGGGGAGAACTGACATATTAACAATATTGAGTCTTCTAATCCTTAAGGATGGTATAGCTTTCCATTTACCTAGGTCTTTCATTTCTCTCAGCAGTATTTTGTGGTTTTGTTTCATTTTATTTTACAGATGGAGTCTCACTAAGTTGCCCAAGCTGGAGTACAGTGGCTATTCACAGGCACAATTTTAGTGTGCTACAGTCTTGAACTCATAGGGATCCTCAAGGGATCCTCCTGGACTCAAGCAATCCTTCTGCCTCAGCCATCCAGAGTTGCGGGGACTACAGGCATGTGCCAATGCACCTGGCTATTCTGAACTATTTTGTTATTTGATGCTACTGTAAATGGAATTGTTTTTAAGACTTCGTTTTCAAATTGTCTGTTGCTACTATATAGAAATACAACTGATTTTTGTTTGTTGACCTTATAATATCCAACACTGCTAACTTCACTTATTCTAATAATTGTTCTGTAAATTCTTTTCTAGGCAAATAATGATGTCATTTGTGAATACATAATTTAACTTCTTCCTTTCTAATCTTTATGCCTTTTATTTTCTTTCCTTGTAGTTTTACTTTTTTTTTTGAGACAGACTCTCGCTTTTGTCAACCAGGCTGCTGCAGCCTCCACCTCCTGGGCTTAAGGATCCTCCCACCTCAGCCTCCTGAGTAGCTAGGACCACAGGTGCACGCCACTACACCTGGCTAATTTTTGTAATTTTTGTAGAGATGGGGTTCCTCCATGATGCCCGGGCTGGTCTCAAACCCCTGAACTCAAGTGATACACCCATCTCGGCCTCACAAAGTGCTGGGATTATAGACATGAGCCACCACGCACAGCCAGTTTTACTTCTTTCTTTCCAGTCTTCATGCTTTTTGCTTCCTTTATTATTGTACCTCCTAGAGCCTCCTACAGAAAGTTGAATAACAGTGGTGACAGTTGACACCATTACTTTATTGCTAATTTCAGTGGGGAAATAATCAATGTAGTAATAATCACTTTCAATTTATGGTAGCTGTAAATTTTTCTTAGATACCTTTTATCAGATTAATGAAGTTCTGTTTTATTCCTGGTTTGCTGAGTTTTTATAATGCATAGGTGTTGAATTTTTCAAATGTGTTTTCCCACATTTATTGAGGTGATCATATATTCTGTTAACGTACCAAATTTCATTGATCAGTATTTCAATGTTAACCTGACCTACCATTCCTGGGATAAATCTCATTCAGTTTTAGATACAAAGGATGTTACATCATGACCAAATGAGTATTTTCATAACTTTTGTGTCTGATTTTCTTGTAATGCCTTTATCAGGTTTTGATATCAGAGTTATGCTAGTCTCATAAAACAAGAGTTTTTTTCATATTGGTATCGTTTTTCCCTTAAATGTTTAACAGAATTCACCAATAAAACCATTTGGGCCTGACATTTTCCTTCTTTGAAGAGTCTTTATAATGAATTCAATTTCTCAATTAGATACAAAGTTATTCTGAATTTTAATCTTTAATCAGTTTTGATAAATTGTACTTCTCAAGTGTTAAAACAAATGGTAAGCCATTAGTCTGAGGTAGTTCTAACACCCTCATAAGGAAAATGAAACTTAAGTTTAGGCAATCACAGTTGGCTAAGTGGGGCATTGGTTATACTGTCATAAATTTCTCACTTGGATAGTCCAAATAAGGCAAACACTTAAACTTTAGTGAAACAATTTCTTTGCTCTGCATCCCTTCAACCCCCTCTAACAGAGCCCCAAACCGCTTCTGGTTTGTAGCTGCTTAATTTATGAATCACTGCTGAAACATCTTAAAATTTTAATGTGGAAAAGTTTATATTTTAACACAACAAATTTGATCATTTCCTCTAAATTGTTAAATGTATTGGCATATGGTGTTCATGATAGACCTTAGTATGTTTTTGCCTTTTTGCAAAATCAGTCTTGCCAGAGATTTACCAATTATATCTTTTCAAAGAACAAACATTTAATTCAATAATTTTATTATTTTTTTAAAAGATAGGGTTTTGCTGTGTCATCCAGGAAAATGGACTCCTTTGATGTATGTTAAATATAACTTTAACCTCTTTTAGCTATAACTCTTTGCATTCTTTTAGCTATATGTCTCTCTCCATACACATATATATATTTGTATATACTCTATATGTTATTGTGTGTGTGTGTGTGTGTGTGTGTGTGTGTGTGTGTGTGTGTGTATTTAGTGGTTCCAATAGGGATTACAATATGTATCTCCAACTTATCTCAATCTATTTAGAACTAATATTGTACCACATTAGGCAAAATATAAGATCATTTTAACCATATAATTCCACCCCATCCTTTTTGCTATCATTGTCTGAAATTGTACTTCTATATATGTTATAAAATACATACTACAATAACACAATGTATTAACCTTGTTATAGCTGGTTGTCTTTTAAGTAAAACAAGAAAAAAAAAGTCTTTTTTATTTTTCCATGCTGTTTGCTATTTCTGGTGCTATTCATTGCTTCTGGTAAACACTGGTTCCCATCTAATGTCATTTCACTTCTGTCTTCTCCAATCTGTTAAGGCTTCCAGTAACTTTTTCATTTCAGGTGTTTTTGTTTGTTTTTGGTAGTTCTAGGATTTCCATTGTTTTTTTTTACTTCTCATGTCTCAGCTGAGAACCACTATTTGTTCATTCATTAAAACCATCTTTTCCTTTAAGTTCATGAACATATTTCTAATAGTGCCTTTAAAGTCCTTGTCTGCTAATTCCATCTCAGAGCCTGTTTTAGTGACTGCTTTTTCTCTTGACTATGGGTTCATTCACATGTCTAGTTTTTTTGTTTTTTGTTTTTTGTTTTACACTGGCCACTAGAGATGTAATATAAAATCTCTGGATTCTATTATTTTATTCTCAAGAGTATTACATACTAATATTATTTACTAGCATGCCACTAAATTACTTAACTTAAAACTTACAAAGGCATTGTTTACACACTGTGGTAAATCTGTTTAAAGTTTTGCCCTTATTGCAAGGTATGTCCTTAGTCCTGAGTCACAGTCTTCCACAGTAAGCTGTGACCCTGCATGGGTTCCAGTGAAAAGTCCTATATGTTTCTTAGCCCATCTAAATTGGTGGGATTCAACCTCCAAGTTCTGTATTCCCTGTGGTGGTGGGTGAAATATATCTATTGAGCCCTTTTAGCCTTCCAGCTGCTATTGCTTACATGGGATCTTTGGAATGGAATCTTCCCTGAACATGTACATTTCAGGGTCAGGTAAAGATTTGAGTGAAAGTTACATACAAACTTTAGGGCTTGTTTTCTGTGTCTACTTTCTGAAATTTCTCCCTCAAAATCCAGTCACTCTGGCAGCCCCAGGGTCCATATTCTGACACAATGACTGTGTCTCCCTGCTCACATTCTAGCCTACCTATGGACTGGGGAAGACCCTCAGATGAAAAGCCAAATAAACTGTTCTCATACAGTGTCATCTCCAACTTTCAAGGGTCTAACACCCTCCAATTTATGCTTTTTGATTGTCCTCCAGTGCCTTCAAGTTCTTTATGCCCTTATGGTTATGTTTTGTCTATGTTTATAATTAGTATCTCATGCAAGCTACTCTGCCAATAACAATAACTGGATTTGGGTTTTAGCTCAGAAAAAGAAATC